CACCACCTATCTTAGAACCCCCTTTCTATATACTGCTGAAACTGCACTACATCCATCTGTGGTTAAAGACAGTGATGATGAAATTGTAAGGTTGTTCGGCAAAGATCGAGTGAAGTGCCTAAGTAATTAAGTAATTATTAAGAAATAGGATAATGTTAATATACTTTGTTAAGTTTAAATTACTACAGTTCACTAAAAGTTTAAAAATGCTCAACAATGTTCTCATTTTTTGCTCGTTCTCACCGGCAAACGTAACATAATATTGTGCATCAGCCTGACAATTATATTCATGATAAAGCTACTGTATAAGGTGTTACATCACAGCATATGCTGCATGCAGCTATATTTCAACTCTTGCTTTGTATTTTATCATCACAATCTCACTGATTCTTATTTTGCGAGAAACACTAAAAATAATGAAGTGCTACACACAGTAGAGTTGCAGCTTTTAGGAGGCTACACAAAATTAACTGAAGGAATAAAGATGCCGGACAGACAGATATCAAGAAGGTTGCAAAACAATGTAAGGCTCACTGCAAGTCAATTTAAACTGGGTGGATTGAAGACTGGACTGCCTTTAGGCAGACAAAAACATATTATTTTGTCGTTTTTGTCTTTGGGCAGATAAAAACACATTAAATTGTCCAAACAACTTTGCACAACAAGGGAACAAGAAGTTGGAGCAAGATTTAAAAAAAGTCTATTTTAAGACATTTTTAACATTTCCCTCAAAGACATAGAGGACATTACCACTAAATGCTTAAAGGTGGACACAAGTTCCAAAAAAGTAAACTCATTCCTTGTTAATTTCAACTTGCATGTAATGTATATGTTTACAGAAGAGAAAAAAAAATGATGGAAGTTTCCATTTCAGTGAATAAAATATAAATAAACATTCATTTCCTTTGTTGAAAAGACGTTTTGTTGTCACCTATACCATAAACATTAATTTAAAACGCCCTGTAACCATATAAGAAAAAGAGTATGTTTTCTATTGTCATATGAACACGGTTGTTCATTCATTCATCGTTTGACTAAGTCTTTAAGAATAAATATGATTTTTTTTCCAATAAAAAGGGATAAATTTGAAAACATTCACCATCATCAAAGAAGACCTCTTTGGTCCTTGACCCTTTTTGGTCGAATTCAGGGTAGTTTTCAGTCTCTTCCATGTCTTTCGTAGAAGAGATTTAGTAAATGCCTGGGTTGTTAGGGCAAGTAAATCGCTGGATAGGTGATCTTTTCTTTGAGGAGTATAAAACTGCATTTAGCATTAGGGGACTGTTCAATGCTTCCTGTTGAGGTGCCAGGTTCTCTTAACTGTCCCTTAACTGGTTTGACTTGTTCTAGCACATATGTAGGCAATGATTTAGCCAATAGTGAGGGCAAGGTTTTTCCATTGCCTCTGTCACTATCTTCTCAATATCTCAATGCAATGCTGGAGCTGGCTCACCGCCCTCCAGATGGATAGGGTCAGTTGGGTCCTTGGATAAGGTCAGGTGTTCAGTGCCTTATACCTGCCATCCACCCCTAGTAGAGTAGTAAATGATACTTAACAAACTAGGCACCTGTGACAAGTACGTATACCATGTGCAATATTCTTGTTTATAAATACTGTGTCAAGAATCCCCCCCCAAAAAGAGGGAGGTATTATCATAGACACCTTAACATTATGTGTATATAAATCATGCTTAAATGGATGATATGTGCATTTCGTGCCCAGTACACATGTTTTATCAATATTATCAATGTGTCACTTATTTCATGCCTAATGTACATTTCTGTAGGAAGGAAAACCTAGAATGGATAATAATTTACTTATTTTATTTTATTAAACGTGTTTATCCGAAGACATTTTGAAAGTTTACGCTTGAAAGAACACGAAAACTCCACAAGGCTGTGAAGAGTTATCAATCTTCGTGAAGCATGAGGATAAAAAAATGATAAAAATAATCAAGGAATAGACTGTTATTTTTATATGCGTGGTATCCAGACCTCTTGTGGCTCGAGATCTGCATCAGTATTGTGAATATCAGTCAGAGAGGAAGTGAAGGAGAATAGGAATTACACCCAAGTATTGTGACAGAACAAATTCTATGTCATGGACTGTGGACTTTCAATGGTCATTGTACTTGATGATCGGCTAAGACAAAATGTTTGCATATGTATTTAAATGAAAAACGTCAGAATTTAACTGTCATTTTGCAAACTATTTTTTTAAAAAAAGGTTTTGTCAACACAATATGAAATGCAGATCAAATAAAATTCTATAAACACTGGGAAAGATTAAAATATGATCAGAACTAGAAGTTAAGCAGTGAAAGTTAATGGCTGGATTATGTAACATTTGTGACGAGGTTGGTACTAAAAACTGGAACAATCTTGACTGATCTGACTCAGTCTTTAAGCAAAGAAGTTTCAGGAATCTCAATGTTAAACGACACCTCAGCAAAAAATGTAGACGATCTTGAAGAAGAGTTTAGAAGAACCAATGTTGTAACTATAGAAGGGTCATCTTCTCTCTGATTTTACTGCAAAACTTCAAACTCACACCACCTGTGCATTCCACTGTATCACATGGTTGCTAAACGAAAGAGCTTGCTGCGGGAATCACAATCAACTGTGCAACGACTGCACTGAAAGATTCACCCTATTCAATGATATTCAAGCAACTGTTTATGCCAGCTCTCTATCTACAGCAGGCAAACATTATTATCAGGAACAACTAAGCAAAATGCAGGAACAGCTTGACTTGTATATAGCCCACTTGGTTCGTGGAAAGTATCAGAGGATGCAATTTATGGATGAAGTGGATGGGTTAGGACCTGGCAAGGCAGTCGTGTGCGATTATATGATGAAACTGCTTCTTCATAAATTCCATCAGCCTCAACGGGACTGGTTCGGAAAGAAAGGGGTATCAGTTCACGGTAGCATGTTCTTCTTTCGATCTCAGGACTCAAAGGACATCCAGGTGGAAATACATGTCTTCTCTAATGTTCACTTGCACCCAAAATTGGTTTTTCACAGCGAGTGCATTTGAGTCAACCTTTACAAACTTTTCTTCCAGAATTCCGCGGTGTCTTTGATCTTTCGGCTACATTACTTGAAGTATTGCATGTGTTTGAGAAACGTGGGCTCATATTAAATAACTCAAATTATAAAATATAAATATGGATGAACCACCAAGAAGAATGCTTTCTGCACGACAATGTTTTATTCATTTCGAAGGTAAATCTAGGGAATTCTTCTCATTCAAGTTAACACAGTTGATAAAACCTGAATGAGTTCAAAACGAGGGTTAGTTTGGATGAAAAACATACTCAAATCCTGACCAATGTTGGACATCGCGAGTGTTAGAAGCATTGTCTATATTTCGTACATCATAGAATATTTTGTACAATACGGGTATATAAAAGTTTCCATTAGAGAAATATAACAAGATTATGTACTATAACTTCCAATATAGTAATTAATAAGATTTTCCAAGTATTTAAATTGCTTATTTCTTCATGGACTTGGTGTTAGTTTTGATCAAGGACAAGCCAAGGTTTTATTATACTGTATATAAAAATATGTATTTATAAAAGACGTGTAAAGGAAATAAATATGCTCATATTGGTTTAGTTCGCTGTGTTGTAATTTCCATTTTAATTACACATTTGACATAGGTCTGAGTCGTTATTCCTCATGAGAAATCTAACAGTCTTTGCCTGCCCCACAATCCACATATCGTAGTTTTAGCCCTTATCAGGAAAACACTGTGAAAGTCTGGTGAATTGTGTCAGTTAACACCTCATAATTTGCTAAAATAAACGAGTATTGTCAAAAGTGGGTCAATTTGGACAGCAATTCTCGACTACTTTCAAACCATAATAGTTAATCACTGACGTATATTTTATAGGTTACTAGAAAACGAAAAATAGATATGCTTGTTTTGGCAGAAATGTTCAACGGAGGACTTTTGAGGGAGGCTGCAGAAAAGAAAAAAGACAAGTGGATTTAGCACATATTAGAGGTAAAGATTGTGTTGCTATAGAGGTACGCTACCACAGGCATTGTCATTTTGATTACTGCAGATTCCTGACCCGAAAATCCGCAACTAGTAAGCCAACTGATGAACTATACCAATCAAGCTACATCGCCTTCTGTTCGAAAATAATTGACAAAAGGCTTATTGAAGAAAAACAAATAATGCGAATGAGGGTGTTACACAAGATTTTTGTGGAACGAGTTATGAAATTTGAAAAGCTTGATGCATCCAATTACCGTCCTACTCGACTGAAGGCTAGACTACAAAGAGACTATCCACAACTTGTCTTTCATCGTCCTGCAACCAGGAATCAAAGTGAACTGGTTTTTGTTGAAGAGTTATCTGTAGGTGAAGTAGCAGAGACCTGTGAAACAGTAGATACTAAGGAATTTGAGAGCGATAGCAATGATGAAATGATTGCTGAAGCTTCAATGAATAAAAAGAAAGTAATGTTGAAAGAATTCTACGATGTTGCTTTGGCTTTCCAGACAAGAAATTTCAGAATAGCCTTACAGCTGAACCATTCTCACAAATTGTTGATAAATACGAGGGTTTTGTCGTGCAGGAAAGTGAAAGCAACCCAACGTTTGCATTGTAGAGTACAGCCCCTATTACTTCAATTTGTAAAGGTGAGAATATTAATCGGCCAAGTTCTTTCACTGTATAAGAACTGCCTTCAATTTTGGAAATTTGAGGTTAAAATATATTTAATCATGAGGCATGCAACAACTGGGTTTTTTGGGAAATCAGTTGTATCGACTTCCATAGAGCTACACGAGAAGGAAATTGGGAACTTCGTCTCTCGACTATGTGTTTAATGCTAACATTGTACTTTGGATGTGATCTAGTGAATTTTATATAATAACGTAAAGAATTCAAGCAATTTCATTGGTCGAGAGCCATGATCTATAAGAGGACAGACGCACGGAATGACGTCACAGCAATTTTCTTGTTTTTAAATTGCAAACAAATGGCGGAATTATTTGAATATTTACCAGAATTTATCCCTGACTGGGCAAATGAAGACCTTGAAGAAGACTTAGTTGAGGCAGTTGACGTTTTTGAGCAACAAGAAAAGAAAAAAACCCGGTTTGCTAATGTCGAAACAAATGACCTTTTGCTAATTCTCGAGCAATCTCAGTCGTCCGCTACGAAGAGAAACACGAAATGGGTTGTAAATGTGTTTGCAGGTAGGTTTTTCTTACACAAGAAGCTCGTTAATTTAAATGAAAAAGTATCTTAACAACAGAACATATTTTTATGTTTCATATAGACTGGTGTCGCGAAAGAAATATCACCAAAACACTACTTGAAATGACAACTCCCGAGCTTGATAGAAACTTGTCCAGGTTTTACGTTGAGGCAAGAACGAAAGACGGCAAAGAATACAGTCGTTCAGCACTGCTCGGTTTTCGAAATGCCATTGAACGTTTCATAAATAACAACGGGAAATCAATAAAAATATCAAAAAATTACGAGTTTCAACAAAGCAACAAACTTCTCGATGCGAAACTAAAAATTAATCGTCGTGCAGGAAAAGAAAATGTCAAACACAAGGCAATAATTGTCCAACCAGACATGCAGAAAATTAAAACAAGTACATACCTAGCCATGGACAATCCAAATGGTCTACTCCGAAGAACTTGGTTTTTTGTAACGCTTTACTGGTGCAGAAGAGGATGTGAAGGACAAAGAACTCTTCGCTCCGACAGCTTTAAATTTTGTCAAGACGAAAATGGTCGTAAATATGCTGTGATGACCCACGACGAAGCGACGAAAAATCATCCTGGAGGAGAAAATAGCAAGCCCTCTCACGAAAAAGAAACCCGAATGTACAGTACTGAAACTCCAGATGATGCGTTTGCCAGTTTAAAGTTATACGTCTCAAAGCTAAATCATAAATGCAAAGCATTTTTTCAACATCCCAGAGCAAATTTCGCCTTCGATGACGCCGTATGGTACGAAAACAAACCCATTGGTGTTAACAAACTTGGGGACATGATGAAAAGCACTTCCATTGGAGCTGAACTATCCCAAGTCTACACCAACCATTCCGTTAGAGCATCGGCGATAACATTGCTTTCCAACGCGAACGTGCCAGACCGCCATATCATGTTTGTTTCGGGACATAGCAACGAACAAAGCATCGCTCATTATAGCTCACGACCTACCGTATCGCAGCTAGAGAATGTTTCCGACACATTGTCAAACGCCCTTCAAAACCAGCCATCGATAAATAAAGATCGATGGATTACTAGCGCTAGCAATTTGGCTAGTTTCATCTCATCCAAGTCCAACACATCAACAGTAAACGTTGCCGCTTCAAATATGTCAAGCTTTCCAACAGGCTTCTTTAGTTCGTGCAATATTGGCACTGTTCAAGTGATGTTCAACCAACAAGGACACCCAGAACAAAACATTTGATTTTGATGTTTCGATTACACAGTTAAAACTGTTAAATGATGTTGTTGTAATATAAAATTTGTATTTATAACTCGATTTGTATTTCGCCTTCGAATAATAAAATTTTAAGGAATTTGATCAGTCATCGCTTGTTTATTCTGTCAGCCAATCACATTTTAGCACGTGACTTAAGTCAGCCAATAGCATTTCCTTAATCCTATAGATCATGTACGTGTGATATTTGGAAATTTTGACTTTTTCAATTTTCCAAGTGTTGGGGCAAACAAAAATAAACTGTTTACCGGTTTAATTTTGGATTTTTTCAGTTTTATTATATAAAACAAATAGATTACAATGAACCGTTGTCTGTTCAGTTATAGATACACGGTATGACGTCATATGTGATAAGAACAAAAAAAGTGGCCACGAGCCGCCGGCTATGGAACGCCATATTGGCTTGAAATGACAAGATTACCAGATACACATCCAGGTAACACGCGCATCCGTATGGTTTTTTTGCCTTATATTCCAATCAAAATTAGGCTGGTGTACACAAGATTGGTGTGTCATGCTATTTCATTAATTCTTCCTCGTAGTCGAAGTAAATATCAACCTGGAAATTGGTTTCCAATGACGAAACAGCTCTTGATACACTTGATCGCCTAGGAAATGATTTTGCAGTAGATGAACACATCCAGAAAAACCTTGAGTCATCGACATGTATGCTATATGGGGCTAAGGAGACCAAATCTGTCAACGAAGCAAGGTATAATCTATTCAGAATGGGCAAATTCTCTGATGAATCCTTGCCTTCAAACGAGAACTGTCTCTTACAGCAAATGCAGGGGGCAAATTACCAGGCAGCAGTATGGAAAAGGGCAACAACTCAGATTATTGATGCATCTTCACCTACTGTTCATGGATGGAAAATTGATGAAGAAGGAAATATTGATGTGGTGTGGATGACGAAGAAATGTGCCCCAGATGTGCTACTCAAAGATTCCAACTGTAAATGAATGTAAGGCAGGGTGTTAGGCCGTGCGCTGAACGCGATTATCGTTCAAGTTCGTTGTCCACCCTCGGGCACTACGTAAAAATTTGAGTGTTTATAGATTTTTACCTGGTAATAACATTTCTAGTTGTTGGCACTTTCAAAAGGTTGCAAATAGTAGGGAAATTTCGATTCAAAATTGACTTTGTTTATTGTCGGTTCCCTTTGATGTCGAAGGCCGCCATCTTGAATTCCCCAGGATACTTAGTGTAATATTACTATAATAATAGATTTTGCTAACTTTAACTTTCAAAGGAAAATGCTTTTAAATGAAATAAAAAAAACCTCTTTCATAATAAAATAATTCATAGATCATTATATTTCCCCCAAAATACTGACTTAACTTAATAATAAAACGCCTACAAATTGTTTTTTACTCCCCCACACCTAAATCTCCGCTATCCCATATTGTCATTGAGGAGTACTTTATATTTCTTCATCGGTGTCTGAACCGATATCTTCCATATCATCGTCAACGTCTTCAATATTTTCATTCATGTTGTTACAACCTTCGCAGGCACAAACATCGGTACAGTACAATGTTGCCTTCTTGCAAGAGCAACGTTGAGTCAAACAGCCAGTTTTGCAGCCACACCTCACACATTCTAAAAGTGAATCTGGAGCAGGGGGTATGCTAATCCAGAGGATTTCTAGCTCTCCATTTATAACTTTCCAACCATGTGCATGCGGGGAAGGCATTACCAACTGCTGATCGAGACATCGGCGCCATATTGCAGCTTGATAATTGGCCCGGCGGATATGCAAAAGTAAACTGTCGCAGGTTGGGGGTAGCATATTGTCTGAACACTTTCCTGCCTTGAAGAGTGTAAAACGGCACTTGTTAACATCACACGAAAATTTGTCACCATACATGAGGCAAACGAACTTGTTGAGTAAGGCAATGAGTTCATCTGATATGCTAAAATTTCTTCCAATAGACCCAAACGCCGGAATTAAACTGTGGTTACGTTGAAGGACATCCCATGCAGTCTTTTTGCCCTTTCCAAAAAACGAGCTAGTGCTATCGCAACCTTGAAAATAAAATAAACGTTAGTTCTGAAAAAACTAACTATATTTTAATACTGGCCGCATACAATGCAACAACAAATAAAAATCAGATGTCTCACGCCCTAAGCCAAATCAATTTTCAGTCTTATGGATTTGGACAATCCGGAACAACCCGGCACTGATTACCTGAAAAAGCATGAAAACCCGGTAAGGCTTGACGAAGTTCTTCGTCCAGTGTGTCCGCAATTTTCTGTATAGGTATTAACTTGAAATTGTTGCCTGTTCCTGTCATGAAGATGATGTCTTTGTTAATTTCCCGTTGCACTGCAATGCACAAAACGAACACGTCCGTGTCAGGGGTTTTGATGATTATTTTTCCATCCGTATCCACTGTAGCGTTCTTAGCATGTAAAAGCATCCGAGTGTCGGCTTCCTCGTGATTACTTTCAAGTTCCATCTCTTCAGTACGTACCACGCAATGCTCGCCAGATTCACCCCTTGTAAATCGAAAGCATATGTTTCGAGATGTGACATACATCATGTCAAGGTTTCCAAAGGCGGACAAAGCGTAGGAGCACCAATGTTCGCACATGAATGCAATTAGAGACTCCTTGTTTTCTCCAACACTAAGGAATTTCTTCCACTGTTTTGGAACATGTTGAGTTTTGCTGTGAACATGAACTTTCTGCACACCATAATTCGCAGCTCTCCTATTTCTTTCTGGATTCTTAATGCTTACGTCGGGGTAACAATCGGTGACAAAATCGACCCTCGTCGCTTTCCAATAGAGTGCTGCTTTCAGTAAAGTGGAAAAAATCAGATCGCATAACTCGCCGAAAGTTGTCCACTTTCCTTTGATGGCCTGGAGCGTCGCCATCCCATCCACGATCAGGGTGTTATCACCATATAATCCCAGGTCAGAATAATCGTCATTCTCACTATCACTGTTACATCTATCTTCTATGGAGAAAAGCATGAACATGCATTATTAGAAAGTGTATTATTTAAAAAAAGTGGCGGTATTAAAAGACGGCAACCTTCAATAACCTCGAGCGTCTAAGCAGAATGATGTAACGATAAACGATTTTAAAAATAACGAGTAGTGCATGTGACATATATCATGATCTTCATTGTTATGGCCAATTTAAACCTAATATCAACCTACCAAATAGAATATTGAGCAACTTTGACTTCGCTGTTTTCACCAAGGTTCCTGATGTTGTGGCCAATGAAAGTGGATAGATACCAAGGCTAAAGATAAAACCTGTTCCATGTCTATGTCGCGATTCTTTGCGATCAGCAACAGACGGGCGAATAAATCTCTGTTCATCTTAAGGTTGATTTCTTTTCCCTTGCTGTCTTTGATAGAACGCTTGGTTGATGTAAAAGTTTTCACTTTATTCTTTTTCAGCGGCACAAAAATATCCGGATTTTCGCTAAGAAGATTGTCACGAGTAAACTGTATAAATTGTTCCTCTCCAAATTTCTCAGACCTCAAAAGATTGTCAGCAATATCATCATCTAGGAGGAATCCACTAGTTAGGCACATCAAACTTTCTTGGTCGACTGTAAACGGATTAATCATATTCGATAGGGTGGTTATCACAGCACGAACAGCATTTTCATTTCGCTGGCAAACTGAAATATCCAGATCTTTTCGACTTCTATAATACATATTAAACAAATGTATATATAACACGCTTACATACCAAATATAACGTAGAGAGCGTATGCTGTTTGGTTGTAAAATTTCCCTATGTTACCTTGCTTTGACGTTCGCACAACCCATATCCTTGCAATTATTAGTTATCGCTGCTCTCTCAGACTGGGCAAGTAACCATCGATGAACAGCTGAACGATTTAAGGTGAATCCAACGAGGCCACCTTTTGTTTTGGAGTCCCGGTTTATTGTCTGTTCAATTGTCTGGTCACAAGCCACAGCAGAAAACCCGTAGTTGCTTTGACGTTGAGCAGCGAAACTTCTGCGTAATTCTGTGGCAATATCTTTAAAAGAAAGAAACAATATATATATATATATATATATATATATATATATATATATATATATATATATATAATCCGATATAAGATATTTATACCAACCTGGATGTGTGTGATCAATAGCATTCATTTCCAACCAGTATGCAGAACTATACCGAGCATAATTGATTCGATCGCAAATGAAGAACCATGGAAGCATGGATCTGAACATTTTTAAATGTAGATTCCAGTTCACCTCCCTTGTGGCCCGGATGAACATCAGTAGGATGTCTAAAAAATATATTCCATTGTATATATAGTACAGTAGTAACACTATCGTCTATCAATCTTCTGTGTTTTATTTTATGAGTCACGACAAAGAATTACATACCTGTCATTCTGAGGTACATGCTCCAGTACGCAAATGTTCTCGAATTAGCGGAAGATTATGCTTGCCCAAAGCGGACAAAATTACCATGTCAAAAATTTGAAGTTCAGTCATTCAAATCGATGTCGAACTTACAAAAATCGATGTCGAAATTACAAAAACTGCAAAATCGAAGTCGAATCGCAATTAACTAGTCAAAATAAATTATCATATTTCGACTTGAAAAAATTGCCATGCATAAATTTGCATAATTATTATAATCTATTTTTTGGCGCGCTTATTGTATATAGTTGGCAAAATGGCGGAACAAACACAAACGTCAGGCAATCTCCAGCACCTAGTACGAACAATAGTCGCAGATTTGATGTCCCAGGAGCAGAACCCGCCTTTGGAAACTGTTTCTTCAAACACGGGCAACAGATTCGAGAGCATTGATCAAGAATTAAACAGCAGGTTACGTATACCCTGGGGGATTCCGCGTGAAAATATGCCGTCGACTTCGAGTAATTTAAATAACGCACAGTCCGCAGACTTCGTACCCAATGAAGAAAGACGTATTGCTATGAACTTTAATTCGCGGCAAAATTGCTCCAT